ACCCACAACACAAGTGAGAAACAGAAAAAAACAAACAAAAACAAACCCATGAAAATAAACCCCCAAAAACCAGGAGAAAAAACAAACAAATGAAAACAAACAATAACCAAAACAAACAAAGAAAGAAACAAAAACATCAAAAACCACGAGAAAAAAAAAAAAAAAAAATAACCCCCACAAAACACAACAAAAATAATTCTAACAAACAAAAAAAAACAAACCCCCCCAAAAAAAAAAAACCCCCCACAAAGAAATAACAAAAAAAAACCCCACAAAACAAAACAAAAATAATTCTAACAAAAAAAAAAAAAAAACAACCCCCCCCTAAAAAACCCCACAAAGAAAGAACAAAAAAAAAAAAAAAAAAGGGTCCATCCACTGCTTGATAATACAGCGTCTGGCGTGCAGTGCGGCGGCAATCACTGCTCTGTACCGCATCATTCCCCCCCTTTTTTCAACAATCTTTATTGAAGTATCACACGTCACCAAGTTCATGGCCGCCATGCCACTGAAAAAAGTAGTGTATGCTCTTTCAGCGCACCATTGCAATGCAGTGATGTGAATCGGGCACAGGGGCGGACTGACCATTTGGAAACTCGGGCAATGCCCGAGGGCCCGGGGTCAGTAGGGGGCCACATGAGATGCCCCTGGTACCTTTTTCATAGGCTTTTTTGAGTTTGGGCAAGGACACAGGGGCCTCATGATCCCCTATTGCCCGGGGCCCTATGAGTTGTCAGTCCGCCCCTGATCGGGTACACAGGCATTTTGCCTTGTCATGCGGTGGGACCGCGCTGGAATAACCGCTCAGCGCAGTCCTACCACATCTGGTGTGAATGGACCCTAAGGAGCCATCAAACACCACATCCCTCTGTAAGCACTCACTGGACATAGCCATCCCATACCAGCCTATTTCTGCAGCAGATACAACCAAGTATCTGATCAGCTATGGCCGATGGACCTGTACAAGTTAATGACAGACTGACGCTCTTTGTGGCTGTCACATGTAGTTGCATCTGCATAGTGTTCAGCCCCAGACCTACCATGCAGATTTCTGCTAAGGCATCAGTCATAAAAAAAAAAAAAAAAGTCAGACTGGAGGAATGTCCACTGCTACCTACTCAGCAACGAAAGCGTGAATGAAAAAGTAAAAAAATGAAGTGATGATGAAGGAAGCTGCAGAACACAACTATTCCAGTTATTTAAGAATGATAAATATCCTGAACAAAGCAGTAATAAGCAGAGGACTATGTCCAAAATGAAGAAATGAAATAGATCATAAAAACTGAGATGTTATACGTGGCACAGGAAACAGGACAAACCACCAGGACACTAGAAGTACAACTACATAGATAAAAGGGGACAGAAAAACAACAACAACAAAAAAAAAACAACAAAAAAACACAACAAAAACAAAAAGTTGAAAAAAACAAACAAAAAAAAAAACACACTTTACCCAATGAATGATAAAAATCTATAGATGATGAATATCCAACATACATAGAAGTAGAGCAGTCAGAGGATATCAACCCTTTATAGACTTTATAATGAAATGGAAGAAACGTTAGCAACCAAACTGAACTGTTAAAACAGATTTCACTGCTGGACACTGACATCTAACTGGATGGACAGTCACAGTTTAAATGACCTTACCAGATGCACAGCCAGCCAATCCGTCTATCTGAACAGATCAATATAGAAACAGACTTCATTTTTAATTTTGTGTCACCAAAAATGAATTGGAATCTTTTTTTTATTCATCTATAGCTATCCATCTATACAGATCTCAAAACATGGATATTGTAATACATCCATTTATCTCTCCATCTATTGAGATCTGTTTGGATGGATGGATACAAATAAGTCATTTTAGGATTGATAGATACATCAACATCACAACAGATATTGTAATAGAATGATAGATTGAGATATAGAGTGATAAATAGAGAGATCACCGAGATATTGTGATAGAATGATAGATGGAGATATAGAACGATAGAATGATAGACGGAGCTATAGAATGATCGATCCATAGAGATCATCGAGATAATGTGATAGATAGAGATATGGAGCATTAGATACATAGTGATCACTGAGATATTGTGATAGATTGAGATATAGAGCAATAGATACATAGTGATTACCGAGATATTGTGATAGATTGAGATATAGAGTGATAGATAGAGAGATCACCAAGGTATTGTGATAGATTGAGATATAGAGCAATAGATAGAGAGATCACTGAGATATTGTGATAGATAGAGATATAGAGCGATCGATCCACAGAGATCACCGAGATATTGTGATAGAATGATAGATAGAGATATAGAGCATTGGATACATAGTGATCACCAAGATATTGTGAATAGAATGATAGAGATATAGAGCGATAGAGAGATCACAGAGATATTGTGATAGATAGAGATATAGAGCATTACATACATAGATTCACCAAGATATTGTGATAGATAGAGAAATAGAGCATTAGATACATAGTGATCACCGAGATATTGTGATAGATAGAGAGATCACCGAGATATTGTGATAGATAGAGATATAGAGCATTACATACATAGATTCACCAAGATATTGTGATAGATAGAGAAATAGAGCATTAGATACATAGTGATCACGGAGATATTGTGATAGATAGAGAGATCACCGAGATATTGTGATAGATAGAGAGATCACCGAGATATTGTGATAGAGAGAGATCACCGAGATATTGTGATAGATAGAGAGATCACCGAGATATTGTGATAGATAGAGATATAGAGCATTAGATACATAGTGATCACCAAGATATTGTGATAGATAGACATATAGAGCATTAGATACATAGTGATCACAGAGATATTGTGATAGATAGAGAGATCACAGAGATATTGTGATAGATAGAGAGATCACCGAGATATTGTGATAGAGATATAGAGCATTAGATACATAGTGATCACCAAGATATTTTGATATATAGACATATAGAGCATTAGATACATAGTAATCACAGAGATATTGTGATAGACAAAGATATAGAGCATTACATACATAGTGATCACCGAGATATTGTGATAGAATGATAGAGATATAGAACAATAGAATGATAGATGGAGCTATAGAGCGATCGATCCATAGAGATCACCGAGATATTGTGATAGAATGATAGATGGAGATATAGAGCAATCAGTCCATAGAGATCACCATGATATTGTGATAGGACGATAGATACAAATAATGCATTAGGTTTTATCACAATATCTGCCCATCATTCTATAGCTCTATCACAATAGCTATGTATCCATCCATCTACCAGCATTATCCTATCTGTGGCAAAATGAATTTGCATCTGTCTACCTACCTATCTATCCGGATCTCAAAACAGGGATAGATAAATACATCCATTTGATCGATGGAAACAGAGCGATAGATCCAAAGAGATCACCAAGATATTGTGATAGAACGATAGATACAAATAATGCATTAGGTTTTCTATCCAGATCTCAAAACATGGATAGATAAATACATCCATTTGATCTATGGAAACAGAGCAATAGATCCAAAGAGATCACCATTATTGTGATAGAGCGATAGATACAAATAATGCATTAGGTTTTCTATCCAGATCTCAAAAACATGGATAGATAAATATAGATACATACATCCACTTATCCATCGAGATAATGATCGATAAAAATTAATCATTTGAATGTATCGATCGATCTATAAATATAGATACATACATACATCTATCCATGTTTTGAGATCTGTATAGATAGATGCATATAATTTTCATCTATCCATCCAAAAACAGATCAATAGATGGATAGAAAAAGAAAAAAAAAAAACGAGAGATCTTATTGGATGTAATATTTTTTTTTTTTTAATCACATGAATGATCCATAGAAATAATTAATTTTCATTTATCTCAAAGTGCTGACAAAATAAATGATTTGAAGGTATATCTTTACTATACAACTGATGTAGAATAGAACACAAATGAATTATTATGTATTGTGTAGACATGCATTGTAGATGCCTTTTTGACTGATCCAAGGGTCAAAAATGCACACACAGCACCCCCAGTGTAAGTTAACACATTGTACAGACGCACAGCTTCTACATACCACAACATTTGGGGTTTCTAAATGCACTGGCTAGACAGGAAAAAAAAAAAAAAGGCCAGGTAAGGGTACCTTTGAACTGACCACCGTACAGACTAACTAAACATCACAAGTCTAGTGGTCGTTTAGAATAAATCAGTTACTTACTAATAACAACTTTAGCAAGCCTTATAGCTATGGAAACATTTTTATGCAGTTATACTGAACATGTGTGCTATACAAATACAAAAAAATATAAAAATGTAATATAAAAATCAGCAAAAACAAAGCAGTAAAATATGCTTTGAGTAGTAAATAGAATTAAAAAAAGTAAAAATGAAAAATTAGAGCATCTATCAGCATATAACAAAAATATAGATATTATGCAGGATTTATATAGTGCTAACAGTTTGCTCAGCATGTTACAATATATAATAAATATAGATATAATATTGTGACAAATAAAATAAAATGATATAACAACTTCAGTATAAAACATTATAATAGGCATTGTTCAATTAGGAAAGTTTTGTGGATAACTTGTAATAAGTTGTAATTAGCAGTGTGTATTACAGTGCCCCATAGCATCTAACCATAAATCAATTTTCCCACCCTAGGGTGCTCAGAGTCAATGTCTTATTGGCTACTCTATGACGTTACCCTAGCAACACATTTACTGTCCCTTGTAAAGTAATAAATGCATACCACAAGTCAAAGACCAATGTGCAAAGGGCAGTAAACCATAGCAACCAATCCAATTAGTCTGTAGATTATAGGACTGCCGTTAACTGAAATATGATTGGTTACTATGGGTTACTGCATTGTTCATTGTTCTTTCCTTTATTAAATTAGATTAAAGCTTTATGAAAGTTGGAAGATGCCATTTGGCAATATGGTATAACCTACCAGGATCTTCATGTAGTCTCCCACTGTGGTTAAGTGTATTATTGTAATGCTGGTAGCTCAGGTATGGGTTCCCGTTATGATGCTGGTTGGCTGCGGAGGTAGAATAGGGGTATGGGAAGGACCGTCCTCCATAGGCCGAAGCCCCTGGAGAAAACAGGCCATCATGGCCAGCCGGGTGGAAGCCATGCAAGGAATAAGGTCCATGTGCCAAAACCGGCGAGTGTTGGCTTTGTGAAGAAGATGGTGGTCCATGGCCAAACTCAAGGAATGAAGACTTTGATGGGTCCAAAAAAGCATCAGCAATAGAGGTCATCTCAGCTTTGGAGGTCAACCTGTCCTCGAAGTCAAACCTGGTGCCGAGCCATCATCACGCTCCATTTCATACCTTTTCCAGCCACCAGAAACTTTAGTCAAACATTACTAGTCTGTCATTTGGCAAGTGTTCCTACAAGTCAGTTCTACCGAAGTCTTGGAGCCGCCCCCCAGCCCTGTAATTGGTAAGCACCTCTCCTGATGTCACAGATTCTTCCCCAGGGAAACCCTCATTAATATAATTACTTCTTTTTTTGCAGGCAGCTGGTTGAATGAAGACTGTTCACAGACCCGAGCTGGTCTGCAGGTTACAACTTGCTTCAGCAGTCTGATCAACAAGTGAGGATGATAGGGAGGAGGGAGGGACATCATCTGCAAAACAAAAAAAAAAACGACATACAGTATATGTTTATTGTCAAGGAGCTTGCATGAGTTTAGATACATCGAGGATGATGTGGAATCCCCTGCAAGGCATATGAACTTACAACTATATCATTTACAGAGTAGATTTCATTTTGTTTCGTGTACATATATTATAGCACACTGCATCTAAAAGGAAACAAAAGATTGTAAAATATGAAAGAGGGAAAGAGTGTTCATGATAACTGCTATAGTCTTCACAGCCATTGATCTGTTAATGAAAGACATGGTCACATTGTTACTTTTCCGTAATGGTCAATGTAAGGTCCTCTGATCTCCTGGACCACTTTATACTCACCTCCCCAAGGATTCCTCCCTAGATCCTTTCTCCGTGATCACTGTGATCCAGTGCTTCTGGGTATGGAGAAACATTGGATCGCCTGTGTGGGCCAATATCTAGCTCATGATGGATGGAGGTCCAACAATGAATATTTTGGTGGTGATTATGATTGGTAGGGAGCAATGGAGATGTAGTGGTCCAAGGTGTGTAGGTGTGTGTCCCTTTACATTGACACTATTGTATGCATGCCGTCACAGTGATTTAAGTGCCAGTATTGGTGGCACTATGGGAGCTGGGAGGCAGTGCGGGAGGTTGAGGGGGCATGGTGGGTCACTATGGAAGTTTGGGGAACTATGGGAGCTGGGGGGCACTGTGGGACGTTGAGGTACATGGTGGGCCATTATGGGAGGTTGGGGCACTATGGGAGCTGAGGGGCACTGTGGGACGTTGAGGGGCATGGTGGGCCATTATGGGAGGTTGGGGCATTTTGGTAGCTCGGGGCACTGCGGGAGCTTAGGAGATCTGCAGCTAGCTGGAGTCTTGGGAGCTGAGAGGCTATGGCCTGACAGTAGGCCATGGCCCAGTGGTTAAGAACCACTGGTGTAAGGAAGATCAAGTCAAATTCATGTACGTACACTAATTGCATTAGTTATTTAATACAAAAGGTGCTTCAATTTATACATCTGCCCCAATTCCAGCTTTGATCAGTTCAAGTGGGTTTTCCTTTTAAGTTAAAATATTTGAAAAACATCTCCATATGTTAACCCAAACAGCCATGGTCAGGCTGTCAATTTCGATCCCTGACAAAATGACATCTACAATTGGATGTGTTGCTATAAGCAACACAGACAGTTCTTTTTACAGGCACTTTCATATTCTATGCCTTGAGCCAGCGAAGCAAGCTGTGACCCCCTAAACTACCATGAGGTCACTTGGCCGTCAGGAGGGATGACCTCTGTGTCCGGTGTGGACAAACAAGGTAATAAATTGTGCCATGGTGCAGCTGTTTGCTTCGGAAAGAGAGCATGATCCACCCCAATGTCAAACACCATTCCAGTCCTCCCTCGCATGGAAAATACAGCTGATGAAACTCATTAAACGATGTTTAAAAATAGCTTAGAAAATGTCTGATGTGACTTTTTATCGCACATTATATATTTTACTGACAGCCAGCATCGGGTATAAATAGAACCTGGAATGAGCGCTGTGTACAATAGAAAAAAATAAATAAAAAAGTTAAAAGAATGGAGGCCCCGAAAACTGGAGAATCAAATATATGTAGGGTTAACGCAAGCCATTTCACACGCTAACATGTGTTGCATTAAGAGAATCCATAGTAGACCTCTTTGTAGACTACAGTTAGCTGGTTTACAGGCATACAGGAGACCATACTTTATTTTTTTTTTCTATCCTAATAGGGACTTTATATTGAACTACCATGGCACAATTGCCATAGCCACATTTGGTTATGGTGTGGTCCATTGATTTCAATGGCCATGTTTGACAGGCAGTGCCACCCATTGACTCGGCATGTAAGTTGAAATTCCTGCACTGCGAAGCATGGCAGACTCAACAATGTTGACTCATCCCTCTGGTCGCCGTGTAATTTAGAAGTGGGCAGTCGAGGGGCAGTAAAAGAAAGAAAATGCAGATCAACTACTTGTTTTTACTGCCCCCGGCCATTCATATGACTTTATCCATAAGTAGCCCATTGAAGCCAATGGGCTTCCAACGCACAAAAACCTGCCAATTATTAGACCTGTTACAAAATTTTGGCCACAACACACTATAGCGTTTTGTCCATCATTGGTGTTCTGCATCAACTCACATCACATGTTGTAGTTACATACACATTAACACAAGCATTGGTACATCACTGTAAATCAGACAAAGTCCTATTATTGGCCAAGGTTAGAATATGTGTCAATACTCACCATTCCTGGAGTTGTCCTGTGTTTCCCTGGCCCTATCATACATAGTTCTTAACAGTGAATTTACTAAAAATAAGCAAACTTGCTCTGTTCAACAGCTTAAAAATTAGCACTAATGCCTTGCAGACCAAGGTACGTAGATGTTCAGCCTCCACCCATGCATCTACATGGAGTTTGTATCATCACTCCATGTTTTGTGGGTTTCTGCCCACAAGCCATTATTATTATACAGGATTTATATAGCGCCAACAGTTTGCTCAGCGCTTTTCAATATAACGGGAGACAATACAGCAACAATACAGTTCAATGTAAGAGGGTTAGGAGGGCCCTGCTCCTTGGAGCTTACAATCTAAGAGGGAGGGGCTAGTGATACAAAAAGGAAATAACTGTGGGGGATGGACTGGTAGAAGTAGAAGATTCCATCAATAGCTGACGGCAGGATAGGCTTCCTTGAAGAGATAGGTTTTCAGAGATCGCCTAAAAGTGAGCAGAGTAGGCGATAGTCTGATAAATTGGGGGTAGAGAGTTCCAGAGGATGGAGGAAGCTCTGGAGAAGTTCTGGAGACGAGCATGGGAGGAGGAGACAAGAAAGCAGGAGGTCATGCGAGGAGCAGAGAGTACGGTTTGGGTGACATTTGGAGACAAGATTGGTGATGTAATTTGGGGCAGAGTTATAAATGGCTTTATAGGTTATTGTTTTGAATTTTATCCATTGGGCAATGGGAAGCCAGTGGAGGGATTGGCAGAGAGGGATGGAGGACACTGAGTGGAGGTCAGTGGAGGGATTGGCAGAGAGGGTTGGAGGACACTGAGTGGAGGTCAGTGGAGGTATTGGCAGAGAGGGGTGGCAGATACAGAATGGTTAGTAAGGTGGATGAGTCTGGCGGCAGCAGCATTCATGATAGACTGAAGAGGGGATAGCCTGCGATGAAGTAGGCCATAAAAATACTAGTAGGAAAAACATGTTCTAGGGAACACCAACAACCCAGGCCAACCCTAGAATGTGCTCTAGCAGGCAGCAAGGGGTCTGCTTAAGGGTTCCTGTTGATGGGCATTCTTGTCAAATTCTACCTTTCTGAAAACAGGTGGATGTTAAAGGTTCATGTTTTATTAAAAAGGTTCTATTGTTTTCAATTGAGTTCTATGGGCAGATTTACATGTTAGAATATTGAACAGTTTAGTTACATTTGCCCTGCCAAGGTGGTGCTCCATGGAAGGTAAGGGTCAACTCTGCTGGCCAGGTTATTCCAGGCTTTTTGGGGAAATACTGCCATCTGCTGGAGTAAACACATAAAAAAGGGAGGGAACCACATCTAGGGGGCACCATGGTTAGCAAGACAGCCAGAGGTACAGTTCCAGCTCTTCCGATTCAAGGGACAGAGTGCTGCCAAGGATGTGAACCGCCACTTAAGGACCCTCTATGGGAGCCCAGGTGGGGTTCCAGGGATATGGACTAATGTCACTGCTTAATGGACTCACTTATTGAAAGGTATGACTTCCTCGGGGGGCATTCACAGGCACCGGTGGACTAAGGGGCACTTAGAAGAATATGTACTGAAGATATATCTTTGTTGAACAGCTCATTTATCGCTCCTAACAGTCGGACAATAATAAAGAAGGTATATTGTAATTTAACTTCACCATTTCTGAAGTTACTGTGGAGGACAATCTTCAAGGCAGTGCATTCATGTATGGCATATCACAAAAACAGGTCTTAAGTGGAAAAGACAAGTTATGGAAAATGCAGCACCAATGTCACATGCGGTTAATCTATCTGGAAGAGTCTATATTGCGGTTGTCAAGGACTAGAGTACTAGTGTCAAGTGCATAAGCAGCCAGCCAGTCAGGAAGTGGTGTGCTTGAGCTCCTTTTCTAGCAATGGGAACCACACTAATGGGTCTGACATCACAGCATAGGGCCCCAGTCTGGAATTCACGGAAGATGGAGTGAGGCCTTGGGAGAAGAATAAGCATGGGTTAGGTACTGGATCACAGCTTCCTAGTATTTAAGTGAAACATATGAGCCGATGTTGCTGAGAGTGAGGCGACGACTTACCAGACTGGTGGTGGAGTCTGGTGCAGGCTCAGCCGTACCGGCAAAGAAATGCTGCACAATAGAGAGAGAAGAGTTATGAAGCGTGTTGGTGAACTGTTATCCATAGTGTAATGAGGAACTGATGTCCAATGCGAAGGGTTACAAAATTTGGGCCAAAGAGGACAAGAAGTTAATTGTGTTCATTTAGAGAAGCATCACTTTAAAAGTTGGGGTGCTACCTTAAAACCAATCTTGCAACAGCAGCCTCAGCCCACCTTTTGGAGGCACTAGTGAGGGCCATCTCTGGGCTCCCACTTGGGCGCAGTAAGCCCAGAC